ACTGCTCTTTTATCCTGTATTGCACTGCTCTTTTATCCAGTATTGCACTGCTCTTTTATCCTGTATTGCACTGCGCTTTTATCCAGTATTGCACTGCTCTTTTATCCTGTATTGCACTGCTCTTTTATCCAGTATTGCACTGCTCTTTTATCCTGTATTGCACTGCGCTTTTATCCTGTATTGCACTGCCGTCTGTCCTCTTGTCCCCCCATACACCAGTCCCGCCCCCTGCAACTGTAACATAAAAATTTTACTGTGCTCCTCTGATGATGCATAACAGTCAAACTTCAAACTTGTATGCAGTGTGTGTGTGTGTGTGTGTGTGTGTGCACATGTATATATATTAGCAGTGCATCTATAAAGCAACACGAATGTGAAATATGGTACATGACTGCAACACTATTTTTTTTTTCCTCGTAAACAGACACCGTGTATTTTCACTTGCCGCCTCTGGGGGACGAAACGGATTGCGTGTATGGGGTCTCCTGCTACCGGCAGATTGAGGCCAAGGTTGGTACCTCTCCACAGAGTATTTTCCTCCTTAGAAGACGCCGAAACAGACCTGATATACAAAGTCTCATTAAGGGACGAGCTGAGGGCTGTCGGATGTAAACACACGCCTTCTACACTGTGGAATAGAAGGTGTCAGAAATTCCCGTCATTCCTTTATCTGTCCATATTTTTGTCAGCTTCCATTTTGTGTTATTAAAACACAAGCAGCCAGTGTAGATTGAAGATATGATGTGTAGTTCTCAAACTTGACCGGGGGGACAGTGTACAGCGCAATGGGTTTGCATGGTGTCCCTGGGATTTGGAAGGTTATTGGTTCAAATCTTAGGGTCAGCGGAGTGATGTCACGACTGGCTCCCTGAGCAAAGCCTTTTAGCCCCAATTGCTCCTGTGCCTGTATAGCTCTGCTTTCTCAAAATGTTATTCAAAATTTGAATAAAGCATCTAATGAATAAATAAATTGCAATGCGAAAGTTTTTAGCCTAACTGAGGCCTAAAACGCGAGACTGAGGTACCTGTGATTTGACGGATTAGCTAACTTCCTCAGCCCTTTCTCCTCAGTCACAGATGTGATGGTTCGCCTTGCGGTAATTATTTTTGCTGCAGGTCCTCAAGGTCCGCCAGGAGGACGTCACCAGGGAAACCGTGCAGAAGAGCGTGTGCGTCCTCAGCAGGGTGGTGAGTCAGCGCTGCCGCCGTTTCGCTGAGTCATGCAGCCCCCGGACTGTTCCCATTGGTCGGGAACCCAGAGGGAACTGGATTATTTTCGGTGCGCCAGTCACGTCCAGGTGCACTGCTGTGGCCGAGCGTTGTGGCTCTGTGGAACCCGGCGAGCTTTTCCTTGTGAAGACAGTGTCTGGGTGCCGGCAGAGTTTAAGCCATTATCTGCATTTTTAGCATCCCCGCAAAAAGGGGCACGTTATCCACACAAACGAGAAAGTAGATCGGCAGGAGGGTGACTGGAAACTGGATCTGCCGTTTTCTCTGTCCTGAGCGGCGTGGAGGCGCTTTTCACTGATAGAGGATTCGGAGGAGGAATCTCTGAATAGAGTTACATAGATGTAGTTACTAATCTCACAAACAGGCAGCCTTGCAGGTGGCACAGTGGTAACCTCATATCTCCTGGGACTGGCAGTTTGCCTCATGTCCCACAATCATGAAGTTAGGGTAATTGCCACTTGTGTGCCCCTTTTAATGGGCTGGCATCCCATCTGGGGTGTGCCCCAGTCTAATTCCTTGGATGAGCTCTAGTCCGCCAACCCCCTATCCCTCCCCCCCCCCAACCCCATCCAAGATTAGCGGCAGGAAGGTAAATAGATGGCCGTCCTTCCTCCACGACCTGAGGACAGTTGTCTCATTATTTCTGGCTTGACTGCTTCTCCTGGTCCATTAATTCAGCCAAGTAGCATCAACACTGCGACCTCTATGTAAGCATACTTCATAAATTGTTCCTTGGTCCTGAGCCGCGTTCCTCGCCTCTGAGGATGGCTGAGGATCGTGACGTCAACGTTCTAATCAAGTTGCCGAAGCGCCCGGAAATCGCTGGAACCGCTTAATTTCATTTCCTTTGCACCTCATTAGAAATCACGGGAGAGAGTGATTAAGGATGTGAGGGTGGTAAATGCCCAGCTGCTGGTTTTGCTGCTGTTTGAAGTCTCCATTGGGACCAGCAAGGGTGTAGACCTGAGTATCTGGATATACAGTGTAGCAAAAAAATTATTGTACACTGTGAAAATATGGTCAAAAATGTAAATGAAATTGAGGATATCGATTGTGAAATTTTATGACTCTTTTCCTCAGTGGTATTTCAGCCGTTTTAGCCATGTTTGGAAACTCAGCTAACCCTACAAACGCTTTAGTGGAGAATGACCACCAAGCCTACAAACTAAAGACGCCCAGTGACCTGCCTATTTGGATCATCTGCTGTTGTGTGTTGTGTTAAAAGATCTCTTTTATGACTGGGGACTCCTCCCATTGTCACCTATTCATCCAGCTCAATGAATGGCCAGGTGAACAATATTTGTTTGAAGAAAATAAATGACATAATTTGAAAACAATTCCATAATATGTTTTGGCTAAAACATTTTCCTGTTTCTTTACATAACATACATAATTGTATCATTTTAGATGGTTTTTTTTTAAGTTTGTTCTTCAATATCCTCAATTTCATTTCCATTTTTGACTATTTTTTTCCACAGTCGTACAAATAATTTCCTGGCTACACTGTACGTGTAAATAAAATACGTCACGGAAGCGGTGTTGAGGAAAAGCACATATTGAGACATTAAAATATAATGAACCATATGATTCTCTTCCAGCCACTATATGGCCTGATCCAAGCAAAACTGCAGCTCATCACTCATGCCTACTTTGAGGAGAAAGATTTCTCTCAGATATCTATTTTGAAGGTAAGCTAAATTCTACACATTAGATAACCATTAACCGTGTGTGGATCGCCTGGCATTCCTTATGATGGTGAAAGATGGGTGCCAAATTTGACTGTCCCTCTTTCATCATGTGTTCTGGCAGCGTTTTGTAATGTCTGGGATTCCCATGCTGACCATTGGTTTCCCGCTGTAGGAGCTGTATGAACACATGAACAACTCGCTGAGTTGCAGTAGAGCCGTTGAGTCCCAGGTTTACTTGGGTAAGTGTCTCCCGCTATGTACGTTCGCCTCTCGGAGCTGTAGGCTTGCAGAGGATCTGCGTGGGGACGCATGGGTGTAGCGCCCCCCTATGGTGGGAAGCTGAACTGCTCCTCGGAGCCAAACACAGACATTCTTGTTTTGGCAGATTGGACGGTCTGGGTGTGTCCCAACTGAGTTTACGCATTAGCTTGAAAAAGAACCTGTTTTCATGATCATTTCTTTGTAGGTTTGTCACCCACGGATTTAATACTTCACTTTCGACATAAGGTAGATAATACTCCTTAAGATGATTTCCTTATACCTCAGCAATATTCCGGAAGGTTCACGCCATTCTCTCTCTTTTTAGGTCCTAATTCTTTTAAAGTTGATCTTACTTGAGAAAAAGGTATGAAAACATTTCTATAAGCTTCTGAAAGTCAGGGAGGTGCATATAAAGTACAGTAACTTTGCCGAGTTGGATCAGGTCACATTCAGATTATGAATGTGTGCAATTATTTCAGGAATAGATGTTTCATAATGACATTTTGTTGTCAAATTAATTAATCCATTTGATTTGCCCCCATTCTTTTTAGGTTCTTTTTTACGTTTCTCCGGTCAGCAGATTAGTTGGAGTCTTGATGACTCTCTTGTCGCTTTTTCCCGGTAAGGAAAATGGCGATTATTAAATCACCTTTTAAATGTGATATGTGCCCCATCACTGTCACAGACAGGAAGTTGGGGGCGGCCATTCTAACTGTACTGTTTGATCTCCCTTGGGACTTGCTGTGCTGCAGGGATGATTGAGCGTGGGCTGACCGGCTGCTCACGTTACAAAACCAGGGGCAGCGTGTCCCGGGAAGCAGGACCTGAGGAGTTTGTCGCTATCTCTGCGGAGGATGTTGCCAGTGGAGAGCCTGAGCCTGGAGAGGATAGCACCAGTGAGGAGAGGGTACCCCGGAGCTCGCCGGAGTCCTCGGAGAGCGACTGGGAGACGCTAGACCCCAGCGTGTTGGAGGATGATTCCCCAAACGGCAGCAGGCAGACGGGATCTCTGGTCACGGCCCAGCCGCAGTCCGCTAGCAGCGATTCCCCCGACCTGGACTCGGGGCTGCAAGAGGACCAATTCGGCCAGCCCCTTGCCATCTTCACCAAGGTACCATGAGAGGCTCTGTTTGACGGTCATCTCCACGACTCTGTCATCGAGTTCCCTCTCTGCGTCGGCCATTAATCTCAGCATCGTTTTGGTTGCCAGGGTTACCTCTGCATGCCGTACATGGCCCTGCAGCAGCACCACCTGCTGTCAGATGCGACGGTGCGTGGCTTTGTCGCCGGGGCGACCAACATCCTCTTCCGGCAGCAGCGGGACTTGAGCGATGCTGTGGTGGACGTGAGTTGACGTCCCCTTTGAGACCGAAGGTCATAGGTGGAGATTCCAGTAGACGTCGGCAGTATTCCCGGTGGTCTGTGGGATCTTCGGTCAGACCTGCTTAAAGCTCACCCACCTCCTCCGCCAGGTGGAGGAGGCCAACATCTCCGTGCAGGACCTGGAGCTGCGGAAGATCCTGAGTCTGACCACGGCAGACCTGCGTTTTATGGACTTCCTGGTCCGGCGTGTGACGGAGACGCGAGAGGGCACCCACCTGGGCGGTACCGGCTGGGAGGGAGGGGACGAGTGGATCCGGGCCCAGTTCAGACTCTACATACACTCCCTGTTATGCGCCAGCTTACACCAGGATGGTAAATCCTCTTCCTGGTTCCTTTTGTCTTACTAGTCCTCTCTTCCAGTGTTGTCGGGCTTCCAACAGTGACTGTAAAATTTGTTTACCATATTTCCTTTTCATAAGTGGCAACAGAATTAGCCTGATATAGAAAAATAACGAGAGTGTGAAGTAGTTTGACCTGGAGCTACCCAGGTTGATGTTACTGTGACCATTCCCAGCCAGGCTCCGTTGCGTGAACGGCACCCCCCCCCCACTTCTCATCCTTCTGCAGACAACGAGAAATTGCGGGCTGATTACGGTGCCTCCTTCGTCTCTGCATGGAGGGTCACCTACAACTACAGGGTGTGGAGCAGCAAAGTGCGTCCGGCCATGTCTGAGATCAGCCCGGGGTAGGTCGAGCATTTTTAGCTACCTGGGGGGGTGGAGGGAGGGGGAACTCGCTGGGATAATCCTGATCGACTGACCGCCACGTTTCCCTCCCCTCAGGCATCCGTTCCAGGGACCATACAGCGCGGCTGATGTGAAGCTTAGGCTCTCGCAGTGAGCGTTCGTTTAATACCATTTTTTCTGCTTCATAATGTTTCCGTTTGGTCTGTTTTATGCACCGTAAAAAGAAAAATACGGTGAGGTTTTCACAGCCATTTGAAAACGAAGGGGTTATGATATTACTGTTATTAAATAATAAATGAGATGTGTATGGGTCTTTGCTTGAATGACATCCTCAAACTTTTAGTGGTGTCTCCAAGGAAACCATGGTGTCTCCAAGGAAACCGGAGTCCAGTGCCATGGATATGAGTGCAGAGCTAATGAGGTTTAGGATGTGATCAGGCATTAATATTTTAATTAGATGGGACGAGAGAGGTGTTTGACAGACTTAGCCAATGAGGAATTTTCTTTGACACACATGGAGAGTGGGGAAGTCATGCTCAGCCAATCACAGGCTGGTTCAAGACACCTCCCATTGGCCACTTTGAGGTTGTTATTGGATTAAAGGCAGTAACTGGTCCCTGTGTTCCCAGCTCCATGCAGAACAGTGAGAGAGGGATGAAACTGGGAAAAGCCATGATGAGTACCAGCCAGAGCGTCTACCAGACGGGGAAGGCCGTGGGTAAGGTCTGGGACCCAGTTCCCCATGACACGTTTTGACCGATTTCTTTCTTATAGATTTCATTTTTTAATATTGTGAATATCACCTCAAACAAACTAGTTCCAAGTATAATTCAGCATTAAGCAGCCATTTCTCAGTTCTTTTTTAGTGACTAATTTTGCAGGCCATTCGTAGATCTAACACGTAGATGTAGAAGACACGCCCCTGAGTGATGTAATTGGCTACTGTTCTTGTCCAACTGCAGGCCAGTCCATGGGTGGGGCACTTAACAGTGCCAAGTCTGCCATGTCCTCCTGGTTCTCGTCACTGACCCAGCCCACAGCCATTACCGACTCCAGTCTTGCTGAACCACCAACGCGGAAGCAGTAATGCCCCCCCCCCTCTCTCCTTCAACCTCAAGCGTCTCCCAGTTCGGCCCCCGGGAGTAATGGAACTGGGTGGTGTGGGAGGTACTAGGGCACCTGGGAAACATTTCTCCCCCCCACCACCACCTGCAACTTAGAGTGAAAAGGCGTGATGACATACAGGACAGCGCAGGTCCCTGTCAGTGAGGTCTAAACAGCGTTAAACACATAGGAGGCCCGTCATTGTTGGTATGATCCCTGCGTGCCATTTTTCTGATGGACATTTCATGTAAGATAAAGCAGAAAATGCACTAATGTTCCTTAAATCCAGTGGTGTGGTGATGGAACGGAATGTTGTCCCGATACGTATTTCTTCACGAATGCTGTACGATGCCTTATGAAGGCCGGAGTCACGTGACTCTGAGCTTTTTTTCAGGTTTGTGGAAGTTTTGCTTTTAATGTTAAGTGTGGATTGAACTAATGCAAAGTGGGATTGCTTACTGATGCCAATATTACTCATTTTATACTTTGAATCTCTCAGAAGAAAAGCATGCTCTGCCCTAAGGTCATCAATATTAAGGTAAATGTTCAAATAACTGAGTCCTTGGCCCAGACCATTAATGAATCATCTTGGTCTTAAATTGTTCTTAAATACTGTTAGTCTTTGATGTTTTAATGTATTGCTTATCCCAGGCTTCTACTTCTGGTTCTAGAAATTGGCTGTGGGTACGGATTCATATTCTACTGGGGAATTTGAGCTCTTCATTGAACTTAATTGAGGATACAGGTTCTGTGGTGTTTGAGGTCATGGATGTTGAGGTCGGTGTTTAACCTGAACAGCTTTTGGTAAAATATGCAGCCATATAAGTAAAATCTGTAAGTCCTGCTTGATAAAAGTATCAGCTTAACCCGAATGAACTGTAGATGTCTGTCTTATTTATTTGAAGTTCTACATGCCTTTCGGGACCTCAGTGATTCCGAATTACCTACTTCTCTTGGAGACCACAAGGGGGGGGGGGGGCTGCATGGGGACCGTGTCCACACCCAATGTGCCATTATGAGAAGATCCAAGTGTCCCCCCAGCTGAACCAAGCCATCGAGTGACTGTTTTGCCTGATTCTCTTGTCAAACCAAACTGGAAACACCAACTTCAGCATCTTAATAAAAGGCCCACCTGCCATATTGTTCATTTTGTTATGAAACTGCAGTCCTCTCTTTACATGTAGTATGAGGTCTAAAATGAGTCCCATCCCTGCAATGGATAGTGTATGGGTCAGTATTTAAATGCATGTATTTTGCATATATATCCATCTGGCCATCCTCTATACCAGGGGCAATTCAAGGATTTGACCATTTGGGCAGCTTGCTAAATGGAATTTAATTATTATTTTTTTTGTTTGGGGGGGGGGGGGGTTAAGCCCCCCTAAATAGGCTTTAGAATCGCAACCTACATATTATCTGGTACGTACAGCAAAAACATTTAAGCTCCACACAGATACTAAGCAGGGATGGGATTCGAACTTAGAACCCTCAGGGCGTGAGGTTACAGTGTTGCCCACTGACTCATTCATTAGTCATTTCCTTTTTTTTTTATATAAAAAAAATCATACCTGTTTTCCATCATCAAAAAATGCACATTAGATAACCCGCAATCATTCTCATTAAACTGGTCATGACAATTGGGATATTAACAGGAGTGGTATGCTCTCAGCCCTCTGGGGCGGGGTGTAAGAACCAAAGGCCTCCAGATGGTACTCAGATCTGTGGCTGGCGGAGAACGGTTAGAGAAGCTGGCTGAACACCAGGCAGATGTGAACACGCCTTGATCCCGTACATTTTAATCTGCCTCCACATCTGCGCGGTCGACTTTATCTCCGACGCCATCGAGCACGGTCCGAGAAATCCGGAACATATTTCCAACATCTGTCCCGCCTCAGAGGCGAGTTGTCTCAAGCTCGCAAATATTTCCTGGCGGATTCGTCGTAAAAAGGAGCATCTGGTCTGCGGAAAGGCAGAAACACTAAGTCATTTCACGTGAGATTTATTTTCCAGGTCTGGCTACAGTAAGGGTGGATGCGAGTGCATGCCCTGCGATGGCCTGACAGTCTGGGCCAGGATGTTCCTCTGTCTCGTACCATGTAAGTGCTGGGAAAGCTTACAGACTTACTGTGATCCTATACTGGATACGGGACTATGCAAGATGGATAGATCCTGTATGAAAGGGCCTTGGAGACTCACATGCTCGGATATTCAGCGGGGTGTGTTGGGAAAGTCCGACCGAGGAATTTTGCGTCTGCCGAACATGTAGACGGCTATTACCCTCAGCAACCAAACACAGACACACAAATATTCTGCAGACAAAAGTAGCAGGTGGCTGAGTTCAATGATTTTACATTTTGCTTTTTTAATAAATTAACGTCATTCAAAATACAGTGCTGAAGGAAAATGAGGCAGCCAAACATGCTAACATACAGTCTGTCTGGCGGGGGCCAGGTGCTCATGGGTCACCCCTGCTGACCACCCATGTCCCCTCTACCACTAGTGGTTCCCAGGCTGATTTGTGAAGCTAGGGGTGGGGGCGGGGGGGGGGCTATTTGCATGATTGAGGGGTATCGGGGGAGGTGGTATGGCTGGTGCCTGGACCTGCAGACACCATCGACACCCCAACCCCCCCCCCCC